CATCCAGGCTTTGTTGTTCCATTTCTAAAGCACAGCAGAGTTGACTTAGCATAATCCTTAAGGATTTTTGAAATGGTGAATGAGCATTGACTTCAATTTAAAGCCCCTAACAGGAGTCAGCCTGTCCTTAGAAGCTCTAAAGCCAGGCATTGACTTCTGCTTTTGCCATGAAAGTCTTAGATAGCATCTTCTTCCAATAGAAAGCTGTTTTGTCCACATTGAAAATTTGTTATTTAGTGTGGCCACCGTCATCAATGATCTTATCAAGATCTGGATAACTTGCTGCAGCTACTCCATCAGCATCTGCTGCTTCACTTTGCACTTTTATGTTATAGAGACGGCTTCTTTCCTTAAACCTCATGAAAACAACCTCTGCAATCTCCAGACTTTTCTTATGCAGCTTCCCCACCTCTCTCAGCCTTATTAGAATTGAAGAGAGTTAGGGCCTTGTTCTGGATTAGGCTTTGGCTTAAGGGAATGTTGTGGCTGGTTTGACCTTCTATCCAGACCACTCAGACTTTCTCCATATCAGCAATATGGCTGTTATGCTTTCTTATCATTTGTGTGTTCACTGGAGTAGGACTTTTCATTTCCTTCCATAAGTTTTTTTTTTTTTTTGCATTTACTACTTGGCTAACTGGTTGGCTCAAGAGGCCTGGCTTTCATCCTATCTCGGTTTTCAACATGCCTTTCTCACTAAGCTTAATCATTTCTAGCTTTTGATTTAAAGTGAGATTTGTGTGACTCTTTCATTTAAACACTCAGAGGCCATTGTAAGGTTATTAACTGGCCTAATTTCAATATTGTTGTGTCTCAGGAAATAGGGAGGCCCAAGGAAAGGGAGAGAGATGGGGGAATGGCTGGCTGGTGGAGCAGTCAGAGCACACACAACATTTATGGATTAAGTTTACCACCTTATGTGGATGCAGTTTTGGGTGCCCCAAAACAATGATATCAGCAACATCAAAAATAACTGATCACAGATCACCACAACAGATATAATAATGATGAAAAATTTGAAACATCAAGAGAATTACCAAAATATGACACAGAGACATGATGTGAGCAGATGCTGATGGAAAAATGGCACCAACAGACTTACTCAACACAGTCTTGCCACAAACTTTCAATTTGTAAAAAATGCAGTATCTGTGAAGTGCAATAAAGCAAAGCAAAATAAAATGAGGAATTGGGGAGATGGTGATCAAAGGGTACAAATGTCAGTTATACAGTAAGTTTTGGAGACCTATTGTATAGCATGGTGGCTATTGTTCATGTATGCTTGAAAATTGCTAAGACAGAAGATCTCATGTGCACTTCTCTCTCTCACACACACATACACACATGAAAGGTAAATAATTATGTGAGGTGATATATATGTTAATTAGCTGGATCATGGTAACTGTTTCATGATGTGTATATATATCAAAATATCACATCACTCACCTTAAACTTGTACATTTTTGTCAATTATACCTCAATAAGCAGGAGTGGGGAGAGAAGGAGTCAGAATCGGGAAAGAGAAAGGGACTTAAGTTCTTGAGGATTGCTCAGCACCAGGCACATCACCATATTACCTGGTGGGCTCCTCATAGCCCTAGAAAGAGGAGGTATCACTGCCCTCCCTTTACAGAAAATACAAAATGAAATACAGAGAGATTAAGTTGCATGGCCGAAGTTCACACAAAAGCAGTCAGGGAGGCCAGGATGAAATGGGGAGGCTGTCCTCTTCGGAAGTTGGGCCCTTGCTTCTAAGCCCCACAGTCTCATAAAGTATCCTTTCCCTGGGTGAGCAGGACTGGCCACCCTTTTGGCTAACAGCCCAGAGAGGAAAAATGAGTCATTCAGTTCCATGTGGCTTTCCAAACAGAATTGCCAAAGGAACAAAGTGTGTTTTAGACCTAAATAATCCAGAGTGACCATGTTGGGAGGAAAGGGTCACTGTTTGCTTCCCATCCCTTGTTGGTGGGGCCCCAGTGCTGCAATGGCTGTGACCTGGAAGGGCTGCAGAAGGAGCTGGGACGGGGATGTGCTTGGGCAGAATGCTCCTCTGAACGGAACACGCATCCGAGCAGCGTCTCCACTGCACCCAGAGCCCTAGTCTGGCCTCTCTGTGGCCAGGGCTGCAAAGCAGGGGCTCTTCCAGGTCACAAACCCACTAAGGGAACAAAGGACATGCTCTTCCCTGACTAGCAGGCGACATTAACCTCATCTGTCCTCCTTCCTGGCCTCCAGCCCGGGCAGGAGGTACCCATGGATACCACACCCAGCACTTTTGCATGCAGTTTACACATCTCTTTCCGAACATGTTCTTATGGAGGTGGAGTCAAGAGTCCTGGGCTCAAACCCCAACTCTGCCATTTCTGGCTGTGGGCTTTGGGTAAGCTGCTTCTCTCAGTGCAGCCCTGTGAGGTTTCCATTTGATACATGAGGAACTTGGGCTCCGAGAGGCACCAGGGTACAAGGCAGAAGTGGGGTTTGCATTCATGTCTGTGCGATTCCCAATCCAAGGCTCTTTCCCAAACAACATTTGGCTCCTCAACTTTTGGCCTATGGAGAAAGGAAAACCTCGGCAAACAGAGCATGTTTGCTTCTTCTCCCACTGTCTTCTGAAACACAACACATCAGACTCACCCATCAGCCAACCCAACATGGTGGGCCAAAGGGCAGGGCCCTCCGTGAGGCCAGAAAGCAACGTCTCTGCGCCCTTCAGGTTCCATCGGGAAAGACCCTGGTGGCTGGTGGGATTGTATTTCCTTTGTGGGATCCCACGACAACCTCTGGACAGTGCCTGTGTCCGCACACGCTGGCTATCGGGAGGCCTCAGCTTCGGGGCTGCAGCTCCTCTCTGGTGTGCAAATGCTGGCACAGTCCTCAAGACCCTGGGGAGGGCCGAGATGATCTGGGTGCCCCGAGTTAGATCCTGGTAGGGCCCTGGTTGGCTGAGGCCAATGCACAAGGCCTCTAGAAAAGGGAAGCCTTCTGTTCTGAGACATTCCTGGCTTGTTCTCTTCACCCGTAGAGGGGTCAGGTCAGTGTGACTCCTGCAGCCCAGGCTGCCAGCCAGCACCTGCCGTGTGGCACTCCCATGGTGCACCTTCTCTCCAACTTGTCCTTCTCTCACTCCTTTTCTCGGAGGAGCTGGAGCCCTCTTTGCATTACCCAGTTGCAGAGTTCAAAGCATGAGAGTTTAGTCCTCGCTCATCCATCCATTCATCCTGCCAGGCACCGAGGACACCACTATAAACAAGACAGAGCATGGTCTCTGCCCTCTCCGGCTTAGTGGAGTGTCACGGGATTCAGAGGCAGCAGACCAGGGCTCTGCTCCCAGCCCAGCATTTACAGTTGATGATCGCACTCATCTCTAAACTCCTTGAGCCTCAGTTTCCCTCCATCAGGTGTAAGATGTGTATAATGACACCACGGGGGGGGGCAGCACAGCATTGCAGTGAGGGGAAGGATTCAATCAAGCAAATGCGAAAGTGTTTGCTAACCGTAAAGATCATATCGATCTTAGTTATTGCTATTAGCACTGTGGCTATTATTATTTGCTACACTTTCTCATTCAGGAAGTTTTCTCTGCCTGACCTGTTTATTGTGCCAAGAATCCGGGTAAAATTGACTTTGCATGGCAGATTCAAACAGTATTGATCATCCCGTCTGGATCATTAGCCTGCTTTTTTTCCTAACAGCTTTATTAAGATATAATTCACATACTGTACAATTCAACCATTTAAAGTATGCAATTTGATGTTTTTTAGAATATTCACAGGGCTGTATAAACATTGCCACAATCTAATTTTGGAACATTTTTATCTCCCTTAAAAGAAACGCTATACCAGACTGGGCACGGTGGCTCACGCCTGTTATCCTAGCACTCTGGGAGGCTCAGGCGTAAGGATCGTTTGAGCTCAGGAGTTCAAGACCAGCCTGAGCAAGAGCGAGATCTCATCTCTTCTAAAAAAAAAAAAATAGAAGTTAGCTGGACAACTAAAAATATATAGAAAAAATTAGCTGGGCATGGTGGCACATGCCAGTAGTCCTAGCTACTTGGGAGACTGAGGCAGGAGGACCGCTTGAGCCCAGGAGTTTGAGTTTGCTGTGAGCTAGGCTGATGCCATGGCACTCTAGCCCGGGCAACAGAGTGAAACTCTGTCTCAAAAAAAAAAAAAAAAAGAAACCCTATACCCATCAATAGTCATCCCCCACTCTCCCCACTCTAAGCAACCACTAAGCTTTTTGTTTCTACAGATTTGCCTGTTCTGGACATTTCACATAAATGGAACCATATAATAATATATAACAACATATATAATCACATAATATAATATAATAATGTGGTCTTTTGTGACTGGCTTCTTTCTCTTAGCATGTTTTCAAAGTTCATCCATGTTATAGCATGTATGAGTCCTTCATTATTTTTTTTTTGAGTTTTTAAAAAATTTATCTTTATTACTTATTTTTTAGCACCATAGTCAACAATTTATAGAATGAGTCACTTCAAGCCACTTAAGAGTACCAGTAAACACTCCCCCACAAGACATTTAGCACAAAGGAATAGATCTATGGCTGCTGCCTCGGAAGTATAAAAAGAGAATGAGTCTTTCCATAAAGCAAATCTCAACTCTTATCTCAATAGTCAAGCTCTGGATTTCGGCAGTGGCCTTAGGCAAATTTATCATCATTCATTACTCAGAACATTTAGAAAAGATTATAAAGCAGTTATCAATTCTCATACACAATCTTACATGGAACACCAAGAGATATAGCACATAAAGCAAAAATGCTGTGACAGAGAGGATTCCAGAACTCCATTAGGGCCCCACGTAATGGCTGTGTAAAACATCTTTATTTAACCCCAACTAATTGGTTATGGATGCTCAGTTTACGTGTAATGTTGTAAGCCCCATCTCAGCCCAACTGAATTCAAACTGAAAATCAAAAAAAGGCACCTGCCCCAGTCTATCTATCTCTAGCCATGCAGGGAACAAATTCCAAATTAACATGACAAAGAGTGCACCTTAGTTCAATGTTATGTGTGTTTCCAGTCCTAATCTCAGACACTAAGCTATCCCTGATGCCATCTGGGGCTTAACCTATGCATTCACAGCACATTTCCTCTGGATTTAGAATTTTCACAAGCTGAGAAAGGCAAAACAACCATAACCCAGACTTGCATAAGGGTTTGGCCTCAACTACTAAATGATACTTTAGAGGGGACATTATGAGTCTTTACTTTTTCTGGGAATTCATCTGGATAGGGGTGGGGTGGGGTGGATGGGTGGTGAAAACTGTGAGCTCACTCTAGTTTAGAGTGAAATGGTTGAGGTATTACCAACTTTTTGAGAGATACTAGAGACACAAGGAATAAAGGATGAGACTTGGTGCTAAACACCTTTTCTCATTACTTTTGCAAAAATAAGAAAGGCCAATTCCATTTACTCTATCATGTGACCTCTTAAGGAGCTACCCAATCTACTAAGGGACCCCCAAGACTTTGTGGCTCATGAAAATCTCCTCTCCAAGTCACAGGGTATAAATATATAAAAATAAATATTGGCACATTTCTAAATCTGATGTGACTTCTCCCATATGCAGCCGTCTTCAGTTGCTTTATTATTGCCTCTTTGCAACACGATGGCGATAATGGGTGATGGAGTGACATCAGGAGCGCCAGAAGGAGGATGTCAGAAAGCCCTTGGGGACAGGTATCTCCTTGCGTTGCAAACATTTCTCCAAGAACTGCTTGAGGCGTATGAAGGAACCCATCTGTCTTGTGCTTGTGATGGCTTCAATTCTGGGGAAGTAGTCCTCTTTGATGAGAATTATCATTTTCCAAAACTGGACCTGGTACTGCTTCATGAGGGCATGCCCACACACCTCCAAGAAGTCAAAGAGGAGGGTGGCTGTAACATCTGACAGGGGCTCCATGTTTAAGATCTGTGCCAACCAGCGCCAGCCATGATTTAAGCCATGAGGATGAACCTCTTGTCGGTTTCCATAAGGCCACCGGAGCTGAATGATGGCAGCATAGAGACGGATCATCCCAGACATGCGTTTTAGAAAATTGTCCTGTTGCTCCACTTTGGAATCCTTCACTTGGTAGCCAAGCATCCTCTGATAGTCTTCCAAAGCCATTCCCTCCTTGAAAGCTGGATAGAAAGGGACAGAGTAAGGACACTTCTTGTGCAGATGAGCAAGAATGAGCTCCCCAACTCTGGGGTGGAGATCCCAGATACCAGATGCCACAACCGCGATGGGGAACGCTGCCTCGTGATGAGAAGCCACCTCCTCCTCGCCTTGTTTCACAAATTTCTCTGCCAGTTTGTACTGGACAAAATCCAGCCCCTGTGGGGTAAGTGTGACAGATACAGCACGCCCACCAGATTGAACAGTTTTTCCAGAGAGCAGGCTGTGGATCTTGTCAAATATCTCCTTCAGCTTTGAACCTGCAATAGTGGAGATTTGGCTCACTGGGATGGTGGCGGCCTTCTGAAGATCCATCTTTATCTTTTTGGCCTGATTGTCTTTGCTGTTGGTGAGGCCCTCAAAAGCCAACACACACTGTGTGGCACCATCCTGCAGCTGCTGGTACCACTGCATTGTGCTGTCTTGTACCTTCACCTGTAGGTCTTCATTCTGTTTCCCTCCTGGGCCCTGGCTGGGAGCTGGGGACTCTTTGTGAGCCTCTGGTCCCTGCTGCATCTGTGACTCCTGCAGCTTTACTTGGGCCTCCTCTTCATCTTGCCACTTCTTGTCTTCACAGGCTCTGGTGATCTCCTGCCCCAAGTTTGTAAGAAGGTCCCGGATTTCCTGCAGAGCTCGCTCAGCCTCAGCTTGGTTCTCTGCTGTAGGATAGCCACTCTCTGAAGTGGCCCGAATGATCCCTGAGATGAGGCTGCACAGCTGGTTGCCTCGTGTGCGGGCCGCCGCCAGGTCGATCTGCAGCAGGTCCCTGTGCTGCTCAGAGGCGTCCAGCTGCTGGCTGAGCTGCGGTACCTCCTCCTACAGGGCGTACAGGCTGCGCAGGCGGCCCTGGCCTTCTTCCCTCCGCAGCCGCTCCTGCTCTGCTTGCTTCGGGCGCTGCTGCTCAGCCTCCCGCAGCTTCAGGTTGAGAATCTTTGCTCGGTGGCGATGCTCAGCTTTTAGCTTCTCTTGGTGCCCCAAGGCTTCTCTGGAGCTCTTCTCCATCACCTCCCGCAGGTCCTGGAATTCTTTATGCTGTTTCAGTTCCTTCTGTTCATCAAACCGCTTCAGCTGTTCCGATGCCATCTCCGAGAGGGCCCGCACCTTCCTCTCCTGCTCCTCCTGCCATTGCCGCAGGCCTTCCGTTCCTCTCATTCTGTGTACCAGTTCGTACATTCGGATGCAGCCTTCCACTTTGATCCCCGGGAAGATTGAAGTACCACAGATTCTGTATGTGGGGACTCCTGTTTGTCCTTGGTTCCATTCGGTGTTGCAGAGGAGGCTGGTGAGCAGGCGGAGTTTCTGACAGGAGATTTGAGAACACATGAGGCTTGGTCTAGGGCTGAAGTGTACCTAGGAGATGGTGAGGTCTCAGAGGGTGGTGGGTTCTCCTGTGTATGCGGTAGGACATGATCTACCACCCATCCAGAGTAAGAAGATAGTTTGGGAAGAGTCATACATTCTTCTAAAACATCCTCGCCCCGCAGCAGCCAGTCGCGGTGGTAGCAAAGGCGACCTGTGTTGGAACTGCGCAGAGCCTGCAGGGTCTCCCAGCAGCGACCCTCGGACGGCATGGTCCGCCCTCTTGCAGCTTCTGAGAGGCGCCGCTTGTCGAGTCCTTCATTTTTTATTGGTGAATAATGACCCATTTTATGCACAAAACATATTTTATTTATCCAATTAACAGTTGGTAGACATTGGGTTATTCCCACTTTTTGGCTATTATGAAAAATGATACTATGAACATTTATATACAAGGGTCTATGTAGACACATGTTTTTCTTTCTTTTAGGTATACTATATACCTAGGAGTGAAATTGCTAGATCACATGGTTGCTCTACATTTAACATTTTGAAGAAATGTTAGACTGTTTATCAAACCAGCTACGCTATTCTACATCCACACCAACTGCGTATGAGAGTTTCAATTTCTCCACACCCTCACCAACACTTGTTATTACCTGTCTTTTTGATTATAGTTATCCAAGTGGGTGTGCAGTGGAATCTCATTACAGTGTTGATTTGCAGTTCTCTGGTGACTAATAATATTGAACATCTTTTCATGTGCCTCTTGGCCATTTATAGATCTTCTTTGGAAAGATGTTTATTCAAATCCTTTGCCCATTTTTATTCCAAGCATTTATCTTACTATGAATTGTAAAAGTTCTTTATAGATTTTAGACCTACGTTCTTTTTCAGGTATATGATTTGCCAATATTTTCTCCCATTCTGAGAGTTGTCTTTTTGCTTTCTTGGTGATATTGTCTGCAGTACAGAAGTTTTAACTTTTGATGAGGTCAAGTTATCTATTTTTTCTTTCATTGCTTATGCTTTTGGTGACATATGTACAGTGTACTTTTTAAATGGGCTGTTCCTTTGAAAACCTGTGTCTATTATTTACACGAAACTCCAATATTAAATATCTGGCTTAAATTCAAATCGGGGGGGAAAAATCAATGAATCACGACTACAACCTTAAACAAGGCAGACGTAATTAAATACATCTAATTGAAGCCTTCCTGCTGGGAAAGGAATGGGAATGGATGGAGTTTTCAAGCTGGGCAAGATAGCAGTTGAGGTGGTTCGGGTAGCACCCTCGGGTAGCACCCTCCCTCCCTTCACTGTCTCAACATAAAATTCACAGAGGGCTTGCTGTACGGGGGAAAGAGCGAAAAGAGTAACTGGGCTGAGATGCTGCAGAGAGACACAGGCTGTTACTTGCCCTGCACTCGCTTCCAAGGCCAAGGAGGGCTGAGACTGGGTTCCTGGCCCCTTTCCCACCCTCCCCTCTCCACTTACCCGCTGGGAGGGCCCGTGGGGATGGAGTCTTCAAGAGGTTGGGAAGGACACCAGGGCCTTTAAACATGCTGTCCCCCCACCCCAGTCCTCCACCCAGCCAGCTCCCACACGTCACACCTCACTGTCACTTCCCCAGGAACATCTTCCCTGACCTCCACACCCCCACCAGATTAGGTAGCCCCGAATACGTTTTCACAGCTACCCGCACTTTTCCTTCATGGTGCTTTTCACAATGTCTGATTGTACGTTCATGCACCTATTTCACCATGTCTTTTTCGATAGACTGCAAACTCCATGAGCACAGGGTTTGCATCTGCTCCCCTCACAATTCTGTGCTTAGTGCAAAGCCTGGCACAAAGTAGATGCTCAATAAATACTTGTGGAGTGAAGGAATGATTGAAGCATCCCAGGGACTAGAAAATCTCTCCAGAGTGGCTCATTTGTTTCTGGAGAAATTTGTTTTCAGGGTCTTTATGGAACCAGAGTGATAACATAAAAAAAAAAAAAAGGCCCTCCTCAGCAGCCAGCAGAGGGAAAAAGCATCTTCTCCGAAAGGTGGTTTCAGCAGCACAGGACCTGTGCTGCCGTGGAAGAGCCAGGATCTCCAGGCCAGACAGGGAGCAAGTGGAGGCAGCCTGAGGTCAGCACTTGAGGAGAAGAAGAGGGCAGGTGGAGAGACGCTGGCTGCTCAGTGGTTCTCTTGAGACCGCTGTCCTTCCAGGGTGGAGAGGTGAAAAGCAAGCGTTGTCATCACCCAGTGCCATCTCCTCCATGCCTCTATGCCACAGGGAAGCGATTCACCTGCAAGAGAACTTGATTGAGAAAAGAACTTTGCTTTCTGGAAATTCTCAGCAACATCAGCCCAAATCCCATTCGGACAAATATGCCTCCTAAGGTTGCAACATTTTTCTTTACCAGTCTGCATGGTTCAGTGTTGTTTTATAAAATGTGAGGTTTTTATTTTTTTTTTTTTTTAGCTCAAACATTCCATTTACTTCCACGAACAACTTCCGAGCATGTACGATGAGTCAGGCATGGCGCTGGGCGAAAGGACACCTGGGTAAACAGGCCGTGGTCTCTGTTTTCAAGACGGGCACAACCCAGGGGAGAGACATATGGCCAGCAGCTCAGTGTGATGCTGCCAAGAGTGCCCTGACAGAGCCCAGAGGAGCTACAGAGAAGAAAGAGATGCCTTTGGTCTTGGGGGTGACCGGGGAAGGCTTCCTAGAAGAGGATCTTGAAGTATGATTCAGCATAGTCAAGGCGACTTGGTAGGGTTGAGAGGTAAAGATGTTTCATGCAGTAAGAACCGAATTGTGTTGAAATGGCAGTAATAATATTCACACTGGCAACTTCCTAAACTGGAGGAAGCAGGCCCAGTGCTCTTGAGAGTGAATTCTCCATCCTGCTCACACCCACATCTGCGAGGGCACCAAGGCCGCCAATTCTATCTCCTGAACAGGTCTTGGGTTCTTCCTTTTCCCGCCAGCCCTGTTCCCTTTGCCCCGAGCCAGACTCTCGTCAGCCCCCCCAGTTCCACTGCACCCGTCTCCCCACTCTCTGGCCTCCCTGTCTGGGCCCTCTAACACATCCTCACCAGCCAGCAGAGTCACAGTCATCCACAGCAAAACGATGTTTCAGGCAATGACACGCCACATAAGATTATAACACCATATTTTTACTGTGTTTTTTCTATGTTTAGATATGCAAATACTTGCCATGGTGTCACAGTTTCCTACAGTGTTCAGTACAGTGACGTGATGTACAGGTTTGTAGCCTCAGAGCAATGGGCTAGACCACATGGCCTGGCTGTGTGTGTAGAAGCCTGTGCCACCCAGGTTTGTGTAAGGACACCCTACGATGTTCACACGACGATGAAATTGCCTGACAATGCATTTCTCAGAATGTATCCCCATCGTAAAGTAACACATGGCTGCACATCGGTTAGATCAGAAACCTAACTAATGCTAAATGGGGCCAACAAGGATATTTCACGGCTGAAGTCTCCAGGATAGATCTCACTTTAGGCAGAGGTGGATTTACTGGCTCTAGCAAAGGCATCAGGGCCTGATTTCTCTGTGCCTTGACTCTGCTTTCCTTCGCGTTGGCTTCACTCTCGAGTTGGTCATCTTCCTGCGGTGGCCCCACAGCTGTAGATTAGTAGCCTTCCTGTTTCGGGACTAGCAGGAAGAGGACTTCTTCCCAGCAGAGCCAATAATTGGTCCAAGAACTAGGTCTCCTTGGGCCACCAGGGGTACATGCCCATTTCTGAACCAACCCTGGGGACCAGGGGAATAAAGTACTGACTATGCCGATTGGCCAGCCCTGAATCATCGGCCCACCCAGGGCCCAGAAGGCGGGTGATTCCCTAAAGGGAAACAGGTGTTACAACCAGCCGAAGGATGCGTGAAGGCAGAGAGGCAAAAAGAAGAGTTGCTTACCGCAACGGCTGTCTGAAGCACGAATCTGCCTGTTGCTCTGTGGCCTTCTGGACACGATCAACAAGGCCTTCAAGGCATGGCCCCTGCCCACATCCCTAGAAGGACTGCCCATCCCTGCCCTCAACACCCTCCCATTTCCTGCTGTTTACCATCCATGGCGTGGCCTGTACTGTCCCCCATCTTCTTTCCAGAGCAGTGCAAAAGCCCCTCCCCCATGAGACAGCCCACTTGTCCCTACTGGCCTCAGCAGAGCTGGCTGCCCCCTCCTCTGGGCTCCACTCTCCTCTGGGTAAAACCGAGACCCCCATTCTGCACCTGTTATCTACCCTCCTCATGCTAGCCTAGGGACATCTCATGTACCTGCATGCCTTAGAGCCCCAAAGCCTGCATGTGGCTTCCTGACACATACTAGGGTCTTTGTGAACATTGGTTGAATTAATTAATTAACCTGCCAGGCAAAGGAGGACACTGAAGAATGTTTAGACAATTTTGGGACAGACCAGCTTAATCAGGGCACTTGTATTGGAGAACAAAACCTCGGCTCTACTTAAGTCTGTCCCTGATTCCCTGAAGAAAGAACAGGCTTCATTTCTCTCATCGGTGATGGGGCACCCTCCAGCCATGCACCGAGACCCTGTGCTGGTTCTCTGAGCAACTAACTCCCCACCTCCGCCAGGTAGGCAGAGCCCAGGCCTGGCTCTCTCGCATTCTCTCTCTGTCTGTCTCTGTCTCTCTCTCTCCCTGCTCCTGGCCTCAGCCACCTGGTTTGAGGCTGAAAGTACACGCAGTGGGCCCCTGGGGCAGGAGATGCTGTCCACGGCTTCCAGGGTGGCCTGGGTCTCTGTCGACCACACTCCTGCAACCAGTCTGTGTGTCTGTCTCTCTTTCCAGGCCTGAAGCTCCCCACTGCCAGCAGCAGCCCTTCCCAGGTTGGTTCTGTCCCGCTCAGATTTTGTCAGGGCAACGGAGGTGAGAATGCCTGTGTCTCTAACCCAGGCATCTGCAAGTAGACATCACTGTCTCTATTGTACCAGAGGCAAACTGAGTCTCAAATGGCAAAATAAATGGCCTTGTATAATTTGTCTGCATAACTAGGCATTGTACTTCACATTACACAGCTGTACATCAACTAGACTTTGGAGAATAAGGCGGACTGCAAGAGGCCACCCACCGCCACTCCACTCCTCTGATCTTTCTGCTTTGTCCTCAATTAGTCAGTCATTCATATTTATTTTCTAAGGTTTGGAGGATTCAGCAATATACGAGACAGACATAAGAGCTCACATTTCAGTAGGGGTGACAGAAAATAAATTTATACATCATTTCAGATATAATAAATGCTATGCAAAAAATAAATCAGATAT